CACTGTAACCCATGGGCTCAAGCACTTCTCACACCTCAGCCTCCCAAGTAGCTAGGATTACAGGTGGGCACCACCACACTTGGCTAATTTTTTGTATTTTTAATAGAGACAGCATTTCATCATGTTGTCCAGACTAGTCTTAAACTCCTGGGCTCAAGCGATCTGCCCACCTTGGTCACCCAAAGTGCTTGATTGCAGCATGAACCACCACGCCCGGCCACCTCCGTCTCTTGATGTAAGCATTTCTTTGTGCTGAATTCAAGTCTTCAAACAAAGTTTTACTCTTTTAACCAACTGCAGATTTGAGAATCTGAGTCCACTTATAACCTGTGTGCCCTCTGCTTCAAAATATCCCACATTTTTGGGCTGAACCAGTAGATACCCTCCACGTATTAATTTATGTCTTTGCTTGTAATTTCTGCCTCCCTAAAACGTATAAACCCAAACTGTAACCCAGTTACCTTGGGACCACCCACTGAAGGCTTCTTGGATTTGTATTTTCTCTGAGCCACGGTCACTCATATCGGCTCAGAATAATCCACTTTAGAAGACTTCACAGAGTTGGGTATTTCTGTTAACCCCCCTGAAGGAAACCAGGATATTTTGCACCTCAGAATATGACTGAACTAAACAAGTGGCCTCAAGGCTCTTATGACCTTTCCACTGCCTCCTGTCTCAACCCGTGGTCTCTACCAAGGCACAGGATGTGGCTCGGCAGTCCTCTGAAGCTCCCTTATCTACCTAAAAACCAGACTCCCTAATGCAAACACAATTGCCTGCCCTCTCCTCCCTCAGAGCTCATTATCTCATGTGGAAAAGAAGACCGAGGAGGCCAGGCGTGGTGGCTCATGCCTATAATCCCAGCACTTTGGGAGGCTGAGGGGAGCGATCACGAGGTCAGGAGTTTGAGGCCAGCCTGACCAATATGGTGAAACCCCGTCTCAACCAAAAATACAAAAATTAGCTAGGCGTGGTGGCGCGTGCCTGTAATCCCAGCTACTCAGGAGGCAGAGGCATGAGAATCACTTGAACTTGAGAGGCAGAGGTTGCAGTGAGCCAAGATTGTGCCATTGCACTCCAGCCTGGTCGACAGAGCCAGACTCCATCTCAAATAAATAAATAAATAAATAAGACCGAGAAATGCACACACCTGGACGAACTTTCCCACCAGATTAAGCCTACCCCTCTGGCCCATCAAATTCCAAAGAGAGTCATTGACAAGTTACTTTGTTTCCCAGTCCATTCATCTTCCCTAATAATCTTTTGCTACCACTCAAAAGAATTGTCTACATTCCTCATCTCCTCCCTCCCCTGTGAAGAATAGTATATAAGCTGTTGTACCCCTTTGGATTACTGGGCAATCATTCCCTCATACTGTGCATATTAAAATAAATTGCCATACCCTTTCTCCTATTAATCTGCCTTTTGCCAGTTGATTTTTGGTGAACCTTCAGAGGGTGAAGGGGAAAGCTTTCTCTGTGCCCCTTACCCCCATGATGCCCACCCAGCCACAGCTGGGCGCCTTCACCCTGTGGCTACCTCTCCATGCAGCAGAAGCCTCTCTCTTTGAAGAAGGATCTTAGGATGTGAACTGACGGTGCTAAGCACGTACGAGGGGCCAGGCACTGTGGTAGGGTTTCCTCCGAGGAGTCCCATTAAACCGTCTTTGATGGTGACATTGAAGGGCAGTGTATCCTGAACAGGGACACCCAGCTGGGAAGTGACTGGACCAGACAGATACAGCTTTGTCTTCAAAACCGTGGCACATGGTATCCCAATTCCATGAACACTAGACTTGCAAAGGCAGCAAATTTCGGTTCCTAATGCCAGCGAAACAGTTGTGTCTTCCTCTGTCTCCCTCATGCATTCTCTCTCTCTCTCCTTTGTAAACCAAGGATAAAATTCTAAACCCCTCAATCATCTCGATGGAGTCTGTCTCTAGGCCAAGAGCATTCTGAAGTTAAACTAAAAAACGAGTTGAGACCATGATGGGAAGAAGGTGTCAGATGTGCCTCGTTATGTCCCCCTCCCTTTGTAATTCAGACACAACTGACCAGCATTAACATTAAAACAGACCTTAATGTTGGTCCAAACTGCGCCATTTTGTAGGCCCCCTGCCATTTCACAGATCTTGGTCAGAATGAAACATTCCGTGGGGTTTCAGGCCCTGAGAAACATTCTGCCCAGCCACCTGACCACAAGGTACAGGGGCATCCTTATCATACCCTGCCAAGCAAAGGCCCAGCTGAAGGAACATCCCTATCATATCCTACTGGCCAAACCACCTGACCATAGGAACATCCTATCCATATCCTCCAGGGCAGCAAGCCACACTGCCCAAACCCCTCCCGCCCATATCGATACATATCCCAGCCTGTAAACAGTGGGGGGCTCTGGCGTTAAGCTGGTCCCCCGCCTCCACAGGTTTTTGCAATATACCTGTGTTGTTGTAAAGCCGCCCTCTCTCTGTCTCTTTCTTTAACCCTCACCTTCCCTTTAAAACACCTAACACTTAAGAGTTTTTGTAGCAATAAAACACCAAATTCCAGCCCGAATCTAGCATAGCATCACATGACAGATAGTAGGCCTTGAAACAAATTGAAGTATTTTACCCTAAAATATATTTGTCGTATTCTGAAATGGTCCTGCAAAATTGTCTCTTACAAGAAAAGTCTATGTTCAGCAGAAAATCTCTTTCCCTTTCCAGGTCTTTTCTCTGATCCAGGAGAGAATTAACAGAGTCTGGCACCTTTTTAAGTCTCATAAGAAATCTTTACAATCTATTCTCTCCAAACCCTGGTACCTGGAAGCTTCATCTGCAGAGTAAGAACCTTGGCCTCCACAACCCCTTAACTCAGACACTCCCTTCTGTGGATTTGAGGTCTGTAGATAAACTCTTTTAATCAATTGCCAATCAGAAAATCTTTAAGTCTGCCTGTGACCTGGAAGCCTATGCCCCACTTCCAGTTGTCCCACCTTTTGGGACCAAACCAATGTACATCTTATATGAATTGACTGATGTCTTATGTCTCCCTACAATGCATAAAACTAATCTGTAGCCCGACCCCTTTAGGCACATGTTCTTAGGATCTCCTGGGGCTGTGTCACCGGCCACTGGTCACTCATGTTTGGCTCAGAATAAATCCTTTCAAATATTTTACAGAGTTCAACTATTTTCATCAACACATTATTTTTTTTTTTTTTTTTTTTTTTTTTTTTTTTTTTTTTAGATGGAGTCTCACTGTCTCCAGGCTGGAGTGCAGTGGCACAGTCTCAGCTCACTGCAACCTCCATCTCCTGGTTTCAAGCAATTCTCCTGCCTCAGCCTCCCGAGTAGCTGGGACTACAGGTGCGTGCCACTACTCCAAGCTAATTTTTGTATTTTTAGTAGAGACAGGATTTTACCTTGTTGGTCAGGATGGTCTCAATGGCCTGACCTCATGATCCGTCGCGCTTGTCCTCCCAAAGTGCTGGGATTACAGGCATGAGCCGCCATACCCGGTCCTAACACCTTATCATTAAACATTCCCTGTTCACCATGAATTATCATCACCCAGTCTCCTCTCCTCTCTCTCCCCACCTACCCCCCTCTCCATCCAGCCCCCTGATATTCTGGCCCCCGTTCACACAATCCCCTGCACAAGCAGCAAATAGGGAAGATGAGCGCCTCTGCCAGCCTTGGGGCATCTGTGGACCTGCTCCTGTGCCCTCTGCAGGCCTAGGATAAAGGCACATCCAGGTTTGGTAGCACCTGCGAGTCGGAATGGGTCGCCTTAGACCTGTTAAATTAGGTTTAGCCTAAAGCTGCCTTCTGACACATTTTAAGTTCAGCCTAAAGTTTCCTCTATACATCGTGTACTATACGCTTCTGTTTTCTGGAAGTCACTTTCCTTTTTCTGTCCATAAATCTACCACATGGCAGCCCCAGAGTCTCTCCAAACCTATTCCGGTTCCTCATGCCCAACTGTGAATTGTTCTTTGCTCAATTAAACTCAGTTAAATGTAATTTGTCTAGGGTTTTTCTTTTAACAGATCTAAGTGCTTCTTTAATTAGAAACAAATATCCTGCTCTCTTCCACGACAGATTGTGAATCAAACCACAAAACGTGTGTCTGAAGGTTTAAGATCTCCATACAATCACAAAACAGGCTGGCTAGGCAAGACATTCGCATGCAGGGAGGCCTGGACCGGATCCTTAGCTGTGAGGCCTTCCTGCTTCTGGCTGTTTGTGTAACCTGAGCAGTCTACAGCACAGCCCTATTTCCTGGTACAGGCACACTTGGAAATATAAAGAAATACGCATGCTTGATAAGAAGTCTTGCTCTCTTGTGCTCAAACCCCTTTCCCCAGCTGACACTGTAGGTAAGATAATATGAATTGAGCAAATGTGAGTCCCATGGAGTAAAAGCCTCTATTTAACCAGGCAGTCAGGATATATTGAATAATCCTGGTGGGAAGTTGTTTTAAAACTTAGAGCTAATTACTTAATCCAAAGCTCATATTTCTGAAGGAGGTTTTTTTCAATCTGATAATCATACCACCATACGCAGTTTATTTAAGAAAACCCATTAATTAAAACATCAGCGTTCAAGAAATCACAACCAGGTTTAGAACCAGGAACGTTACCTTTGGAACACTGGTAATTCATATTCACACCACTTCCTGCAGGTTAGCAGGCTACTAATAATGCTCATTTGAACGGGTTGTGGGTCGTAACCACAGATGATGCAGAATCGCGAGCTCTGAGGGCCCACAGCGTTCCACTTGGGAGAACTAACCTCTGGAATGTTCTCAGTCTCTGCTTGCCCCTGGGAAGGAGGGGCGCAGGCGGCACGGGTGACCCTAAGGAGACTGTGCTCTGAGGACCCAGAGCCACCTGCAAGGGCGAGTAGGAAGCAAAACACCGGCCCCATCTCCCTCCCTCCCTCCCTCCCTCTCAATCTCTCTCCCGCCAGCCCCGTCTCACACGCTCGCACACACGAACTTCCCATGCCTCTTACTTTGCTGACAGGCCGAAAGAACAGACACAGCAGCCAGCAGGATCGAGTTCCCGGCCATCTTTCTCACGGAACTATTTGTAGAGCGCAGGGGAAGATAAGAGGCTCTTCTTGACTTTGAGTGCTGACCTTCCTTATCAGGTTAACAAAGTTGGGGAAGGGGGGGGAAAAAGGCTGATTCAAGCGAATGGATGACCTTTGCTCTGGAGCAGAAGTCAGGAAGGCAGGCAGTTCTGGGGCTGCCGGTCACAGATCTTTATGGGGCTGGGAGTTGCTTCCTGCGTTTGTTTGAAGCCTCTCCCACGGCCAGCGAGCAGGGCTGCAGCTCACCCGGGACCAGCCCTTCAGCCACAGCGCCACAGCTGGTTACACTATCTTCTCTGCCAATGCACAGGCTCTCTGGATCCCGTTCATTCCCACGCCCTTCCCTCCCCGGGCCTTGCCGAGACCTTTCTCACTTCCTGTGGAAAAAGTGGGAAGAAAGCATTTACTTAATCCCGTTGAAATTTTAAATGTTAATTTAAGCCAATTCTAATTTATTCACGCTATGAATGGCCGACTTAGGATTTGAACCCAGTCTAGCAGATTCCACTTGTGCCTTATCCCCTGCACCAGGCTGCCTCTGTCACCCTGAGACTCTCTGATGATAATCTTCCTTTTTTTTATTTATTTTTTTAAGACAGGGTCTTGATCTGTCACCCAGGCTGGAGTGTAGTGGCACAATCATAGCTCACTGCAGCCTCCAACTCTTGGCTTCAGTGATCCTCCTGCCTCAGCCTCCCAAGTGGTTAGGACTACAACCACAAGTCACTGTGCCCAACCATTTTTTTTTTTTTTTTGAGACGAAGTCTTGCTCTGCCGCCAGGCTGGAGTGCAGTGGCACAACTCGGCTCACTGCAACCTCTGCCTCAGCCTCCTGAGTAGCTGGGACTATAGGTGCCTGCCACTACTCCCAGCTAATTTTTGTATTTTTAGTAGAGACGGGGGTTTCACCATATTGGCCAGTCTGGTCTCGAACTCCTGACCTTGTGATGCACCCGCCTCAGCCTCCCAAAGTGCTGGGATTACAGGCATGAGCCACCATACCCAGCGCCCAGCAGTTTTTTAAAAAATAAACCAGGATACATGTTTTTGAGGAAAGAAATGGACCAATATTTAAGTGGAACCTCTAGTAGGAAACGGCACATATGGCCACCACACCTGCCCAGGGCCTTGCCACTGTCAGACAAAGCCACAGGTCACCCAGATAGAGCACAGGCCTCCACAGCTGGGGGCTTCTGTAGAATCCATTTATCACAGCCTCCTCCCCTCTGTCTACACAATTGTTTTGCTCTTTAAAGATGCAGTTTATATCTGTAATCCCAACACTTTGGGAGGCCGAGATGGGCAAATGGCTTGAGCTCAGGAGTTTGTGACCAGTCCGGGTAACATGGCAAATCCCCATCTCTAAAAAAAATACAAAAATTAGCAGGGTGTGGTGGCACGTGCCTGTAGTCCCAGCTACTTGGGCTGAGGCAAGGGGATTGCCTGAACCCAGGAGCCTGAAACTGCAGTGAGCCAAGACCATTCCACTGCACTGCAGCCTGGGTGACAAAGTAAGAAAATAAATAATAAAGAATAATAAAAATTGGCTGGGTGTGGTGGCTCACGCCTGTAATCCCAGCACTTTGAAAAACTGACGTGGGCAGATCACCTGAGGTCGGGAGTTCGAGACCAGCCTGACCAACATGGAGAAACCCCATTTCTACTAAAAATATAAGATTAGCCAGGTGTAGTGGCACATGCCTGTAATCCCAGCTACTTGGGAGCCTGAGGCAGGAGAAGTGCTTGAACCCAGGAAGAGGAAGTTTCAGTGAGATCGTGCCATTGCATTCTAGCCTGGGCAACAAGAGTGAAACTCCATCTAATAATAATAATAACAATAATAACAAAGATACAGCTTTATGCATCTTTACAAAGCTGGGGGCCTATTCTCACCTCATCCTACAGCACAAGTAGAGGGTATACCTTGACTCAAGCTGCTGTAACAAAGATACCATAGATTGGGTGGCTTACAATAACAATTTATTCCTCACAATCCTGAAGGCTGGGAAGTCCAAGATCACAGTGCTGACGGATCAAGTTCCTGGTGAGGGCCCTCTTCCTGGGGCCCTTGCAAAAGATTACCTTCTTTCTGGAGAGAGAGGAAGAGCAAGCTTCCTGGTCACTTCTTATAAGGGCACACATCCCATTATGGGGACCTATGCTCATAACCTCACCTATAGCTAATTATCTGCCAAATGCCTGATACCATCACACTGGGGGCTGGGATCTCAACATATGAATTGCAGAGGGGACACAAACATTTAGTCCCTAGTGGGGAGCTCCCAGTGCCTGCTGGGTAGGGCAGTTGCTTCAGCCTCACGCCAACCCTACAGTTTAATGACACAACCTCGGGCCTCTCTGAGCCTCTGTTTGATGAGATGGGGCTAATAAGAGCTGAAGAGAAGCATAAGTGATATAGTCCGATTCTAAAGATCGAATCAGTTAATACTTACAGAGCACTTAAAACACCACCTGGTATATAAAAGAGTGTTCTGTGAGTTTGCAAAATAAGCACATCAAGTATCTAACAAGTACTTAATATATAACGTACCTAATGTTAAAAGATACTTTCGGAGGTAAAAATCATGACTTTCATACAATATAAAATGAAAACATATCAAAATTTTTAGGTAACTCATTCATGAGGGAACCAGTAAGATGTTATAGCCAATTCAAAGGAGAATTCAAGGAACAATATATAGGGAAGAGGGAATGACAAAATTAATTTATAAATAGTTGCAAGCCAGGTCTGCTCGAAGTTTCTTGTTGGTCTTCAGGCTTCCTCAGCTGTTTGCTCTTGAAATCATTGACAACTAAGATTAGATAAAAAGACAGAGCCCAGAAGCCAGGGCAGCACTGAAACATTCTTGTGCACTGGGTTTAATTGTTTTGGGCTTCGGTACAAGGCAGAGATTCTAAATTGCAAACTAGCTGCCCTGAACCATATCACTATCTACTGAAATAACCTCCCAAAAAACAGATCTCAAAGGAGAGGTCTACGCTGGGCTGGTAGGCCGGCAGAGGCTCTCAGAGTCAGAGAACTGCTCAGGATGAGAGGAACAGCAGCACGAGGAGCTGAGCAGGGAAATGTGGTCCTGGCTGATGGGGACAACTTTTGGGTGTTTGTGACTCTTATTCTAGGAAACTCTTGGATACACCTGTACTAGTCAACTGGTTTAAAAACAATGATGTCCTAGTTTCTGGACAAATCCTGAGGTTTCCTACTGACTCTTCCCAGCCATTCTTAGTCCCCCAAACCCAGATCCTGAGATGGTTGACACAAAGTAAAAAAAATCAATCAACCAATCAATCAATAAAACCTCAAGTGCTTCAAAACCCCATGCATCTACTTTAACAGATCTTCATTGTCAGTATATGTAGTTATTGCCTCTAGGAAAGTATAAAAAAATGGAGCATTGGATAATGAAATGTTTATCACCCTGTGCAGTGATATAATTTCCAGGTGACCCTCAGCTGAAATACTGCCATAGCATTAACAAAAACTCACAAAAATTAGTTTCTCTGTATGGTTTCCCTGGATTGATTGAAGAGAAATGACATTTCCCCTATATGTTGTTCCCATAGATCCTTCTAGTGTGTTTCAGTTATTACATTTTTCTATGAAAAGGAAAATAAGAGGACAAACAGCATATTGGTAATTGCTATGGTCTGAAGGTTTGTCCTCTCCAAAACTCACATTAAAATTTAACTGTCATTATAATGGTATTAAAAGGTAGGACAATAAGAAATGATTAGGCCATGAGAGCTCTGTTCTTGTAAATGGATTAAAGTTGTTATCATAGGAGTGGGTTATTATAAGCTTGAGCTTGGCCCTCTCTTGCCCCCTCCCTCTCTTACCTTTGGGATGACACAGCACAAAGGTCCTCACCAGCTGCCAACACCTTGATATTGAACCTCCCAACCTCCAGAACTGTGAGAAATAAATTTCTTTTCTTTATAAATTACCCAGTATGTGCTATTCTGTTATAGCAGCAACATGGATTAAGACAGTAATAACAGTAAGATGTTTTTAAAATATTTTTATTGTCTATGTAAACTCAAACCTAAAAGAGTTTCTGAGGACTTCAGTTAGTACTGAATCATTGTTACCAAAATTATACTCTAGGTAAGGTGAAATAGAGAGGCCAAGATTTGATCACATAAAAACAAACCTGAACCATGTGAAAGAACTGCTTTCATGAAATGTAAACTCTAAATGTAACTCTTTCAGTATAATGTTGGTAACAGATGAAAAAAGTGAGATATTAAGCTGTGGAAATATTTTTCCTCAGTCGGGCACATTGGCTCATGTCTGTCATCCCAGAACTTTGGGAGACCAAGGTGGGTGGATCACCTGAGGTCAGGAGTTCAAGACCAGCCTAGCCAGCATTGTAAAACCCCATCTCTACTAAAAATACAAAAATTAGCCAGGTGTGGTGGTGCACATCTGGAATCCCAGCTACTCAGGAGGTTGAGGTATGAGAATCGCTTGAACCCAGGAGGTGGAGGTTGTAGTGAGCCGAGATGGTGCTACTGCACTCCAGGCTGGGTGACAGATCAAGACTCCGTCTCAAAAAAAAAAAAAAAAAAGGTTTTCCTCAAACCAATTGCACACCCCCACCAATTATTCCTTAGTCCCATCCTCTCCATTCGCTTGCTACCTTCCAAAAATGACAGCTCATCATCCAGGTTTCTGCTGAGCCCTACAGCAGGGCTGTCCTCACTGCCAACAGGCCAGGTGGCAGAGAGAGATAGAAAATACACCTCTTTCCCAGGAACGATCAGAGTGATCACGATATCAATGATCACGTAACTCTCCATGTACCCAGAGTTCACTGCATTACCTTGCTAGAAGTCCCGACTAGTTGAAGAACCTTGTAAGTACACAGCAGTTTTTTTGCATTTTGTTTTGTTTTACTTTGAGATGGGGTCTTACTCCATCACGCTGGCTGGAGTGCAGGGACGTAATCATGGCTTATTGCAACCTCAACTCCCCGGCTCAAGCAACCCTCCCACCTCAGTCTCCTGAGTAGCTGTGTTTAACAGTGGCTTTAACACAGTAAGTTTTTAAGCAAAGCTCAGATAAACACAATTTGAAATTATGCCCCATTTTGCAACATGTTGCAAAAATTTAGGAAATTGTAGTATCTGTAATCCTACAGAATATTTTCTCCCCTTTCAGAAACCACAGCATTTTGCTCTGTAACCCTGAGTGTGAAGAACCAAGCTAAAGAGGGCAAAGAGATTTTATTCCCATTGAGGAGACTTTACCCTGCAACAGACAGGGCAAAGGGTTATAGTTGAATGCCAGCTACCTTCCCACAGAAACTGCCCACGACACAACACCAGTAATGACATATCAAAGCTCAAAGATAGAGACAGAAAAAGAGCAGAAAAGTAAGGAAAATAAAGATCAGTTACCAATGTAGTGTAAAAAAAAAAGAGTACAAGGTTTGAGCTAGTGATCTAAGCTCCCATTTCTGTGTCATGATGGGCAAGTTGCTAAATTTCCTGGACATATCTTTTCTTTTTCTTTTTTTTTTTTTTTGTTTTTTTTGAGACAGAGTTTCACTCTTGTTGCCCAGTCTGGAGTGCAATGGCGAGATCTTGGCTCACTACAACTTCTGCCTCCCGGATTCAAGCGATTCTTCTGCCTCAGCATCCAGAGTAGCTGGGATTACAGGCATGCGCCACCATGCTCGGCTAATTTTGTATTTTTAGTAGAGATGGGGTTTTTCCATTTCGGTCAGCCTAGCCTTGAAATCCTGGCCTAAGGCGATCTGCCCACCTCGGCCTCCCAAAGTGCTGGGATTACAAGCCTGAGCCACCACGCCTGGCTGGACATGTGTTTTCAAAGGGAAATAATACTGACTTTGCAGGTTCCTCTGATTAATAAATGAAGTCATGTGAGGGAGGAAACAGCACAGAACCAGGCATGACTCCGGCTGTCCACACGTGTCACCGCCCTACCCATTCTCTCTGCCACCCCAATGCCCTCCTACCCTGAGTGAGGGCCGAAGAAACTAGGTCTATTTGTTGAAAAGGCCATGTTACAAAGCAACAGATGATCTTAGAATGCCATTATAATTTCTGAGACAGCACAGATTTCCCAGAAGAATAGAAACAGAGCATTTGAAATGCTGCGAAATGGCTTTTGACAGTAATAGAGGGTCTCAACCTGAGTTGTCTTAAGTTTGCATAAGGCTTAGCAGAGGATAAAATAAAGCAGGATCTAGAGATCAGTGAGGAGAAATGAAGTCCCCATTCTCAACAGCTCTCAGCACATGCAGCCCTCCCCACACACACAGTCACACTTACACATACAAACACACATCCAGATTCACACACATTCCTACACACGCACACACTAACACACACTCGTGCACTCACACATTCACATTCACTCACATGCACACATTCAAAACACACACTCACATATACTACACTCATGTTCCAAAAGGGGATTTGTAAGCTGAATGTTTAGCTGTCAGAACACGTATTTTCACAAAAATAATATTATGGCTGACGTGGTGGCTCACGCCTGTAATCCAGCACTTTGGGAGGCCAAGGTGGGTGAGTCACTTGAGGTCAGGAGTTCAGGACCAGCCTGGCCAACATGGTGAAACCCCCGTCTCTACTAAAAATATGAAAGTTAGCTGGGCGTGGTGGTGAGCACCTGTGGTCCCAACTACTCTACTCCGGAGGCTGAGACAGGAGAATAGCTTGAACCCAGGAGGCGGAGTTTGCAGTGAGTCGAAATCATGCCACTGCACTGCAGCCTGGATGACAGAGCCAGACTCCATCTCAAAAAATAACATTATAAATGGTGGCCATGTTTCCAGGTTACCACCCATGAAACAAAATTTTTTTCTTTGGTTTTGTGTTTTAAAACAAAATTTGAACCCAGAAATTAGGTAACATACCACATATTGGTAATTAAGCAACAATAAAAAGAACTAATACTGTTGGTTTGACTTTTTCATGGAATCATTACAAAATGTTTTAACCGAATCGTGCTTGTATTAGGTGCTTTAAAACAGGGTCACTGGCATGAACCTGGCCTGGCTCCTGTAGGCCGTGTTCAGAGGCCGGCAGATGAACTTGCTCCAACAGAGCAGCAAGAGACAAGGACAGCCTGGAGCCCAGAGGACTGAGGTGCTCTGGATGAGCCCAGGGCTGCTGAGAGGGCCTCACTCCAATGGGGGCCCAAAATCCAGTCAACAGAGGATGCTATGCTAGGCGCTGTGACAACCACAGGACAGAATTATCTCAATTAATCTGCATAGTCCAACAGTAAAGTGCCTATATCATTCCCATTTTTCAGATGGAGAAACTGAGGTTAGTGACTGGCCCAGAGTTAGTACAACCCAGTCCTGCTGCCCCAGAGCCTTTGCTCTTAACTTTGGCTGCATGTTGAAATCATGTGGGGAGGAGTCATTAAAAATTACAGAACTGAGAGTGGGACATCCAGCTTCGGAGCAGTAACCTTCGTTGCGCCAGAGATGAGAAAGATAATTAAACATGGGTGATGTTGAGAAAGGCAAGAAGATTTTTGTTCAGAAGTGCAGCCAGTGCCACACTGTGTAAAAGGGAGGCAAGCACAAGACTGGGCCTAACCTCCACGGTCTCTCTGGGCAGAAGATACGTCAGGCCATTGGATTCTCTTATACTGACGCCAATGAGAACAAAGGAATCACTTGGGGAGAGGATGGAGTATTTGGAGAATTCCAAGAAGTATATCCCTGGAACAAAAATGATCTTTGCCAGCATTAGGAAGAAGGCAAAAAGAGCAGACTTGATAGCTTATCTCAAAAAAGCGACTAATGAATAATAATTGGCCACTGCCTTATTTATTACAACAAATGTCTCATGACTTTTCAATGTGTATCATACTCTAATAGATTTTGTACACTGGAATTCAGATCATGAATGACTGACAGAATATTTTATTGGGCAGTCCTGATTTAAAATGAAGACTGGCTTGTGGTTAAAGGAATATGTTCAGTTTTTGAATTTTAATAGTAATTCCCATTCAGTAAATGCAATCACTGTTTACCCCTTCCAAAGATATGATTAGACTTTGTTAGTAATGTTCAGCTTTTCACAAAGATGGTGAGTGCCATCTTAAAATGTACTAGAGATTGGTTTTATATCTAGATTTATTTAACTGGTTATGTGAATATATTTAAATACTGGGGAAATTCCTTCACTGTCTCAGAACCAAGCAAGATTCACCTGTGTTTTGTGTTCAGTTGCCTTTTAAAGGCAAGGGTTGAAGATAAATAAGGTAGCAATGTCTATTTTTTGTATTTTTGGCCTTAATTATGCCAATCTAATTAGAATTATCTGTGTTTAAAATGGTTCCTTTTACTTATTGAAAGGCACTCTAGTGTGGTTTATGTGTAATATCAAAGATTATTTAACACCTCTCACATTTTATAGATGATCTATAAGGTCACGTGCTTTTACAATAGTAGCAAGTTAAACTTCTTCACTCTTGAATTCTTTACAATCTAAGTCAAACCAAGTTATAATTTAGGATTGTCTTTAAACAGTCATTCAGAAACATAAAAGTGTGGAACTGCTGTGTATTTGTAACTGAGAATGGTGCTTTTGCAAATTTAAAAGGATTAAAGTAGAGGAGATATACACACATTTTTATTTATTTTTATTTACTTTTTTTTTTAAAAAAAGACGGGGTTTCACCATGTTGGTCAGGCTGGTCTTGAACTCCCAACCTCAGGTGATCCTCCTGCCTTGGCCTCCAAAGTGCTTGGATTACAAGTGTGAGCCACCACGCCAGGCCTTACTGTTATTTTTCTAAGAGATGGGGTTTCTCCATGTTGGCCAGGCTGGTCTCGAACTCCTGACCTCAGGTGATCCGCCCACCTCAGCCTCCCAAAGTGCTGGGATTACAGGTGTGAGCCATCGTGCCCAGTCTACACACATTTTTAAATTATGTTAAAATTATGTGTGATCATAAGACTTAAGATAATTAAAAAGAAAACCACAGATCATGAAAAAAAAAATACTGAACTTCAGATTTAATTAGCTAAGATTCAGCCTGGGCCCTTGAACTTTTTTTAGCTTCCCAGATAATCGTAATGCACAGCCAGGTGGAGAACCACTGTCTTAATCAATGTTTCTCAGCATAGCCCATGCCACCTGCTACCATCACCAGAGGTGATAGAAGCATGCAGATGTCTGGGCCTCACCCAGGATCCATATTACATGCCAGCAAAGCACACGTGGTCTCATGTAACTTGCACAGAACTCCTATAAGGCTGTAAATTAGTCCCATTTTATAGATCAGGAAACTGAAACTGAGATCTAGAAAGCTTCAGAAGCTTGCTAATCACTCCATTTCATGGCATCCCAAAGAGGGAAGCTGGGACAGGGCTGTTGAGGGGGTGAATAAGCTGGTAGGTGCCCAAAGTGAGCATCAGTGGTGCCAGGATAAAGGAGGAAGGGGTGTGGAAGGTTTGGCAGTGGTAGGAGGGAAGAGGTGAGGCTGGGAGAGATGGGACATGTGGGTCTCGGGGGTGCAGCCCAGGAGAAATGCTGGTTTCCACTAGAGGAGTTTACAGGATGCCTGGGTGGAGGAAGGAAGAACAGACAGACATGAGAGGGAAGCCTAAGGCTGAGATGCAGCAACAGCCTCCGAAGAACCAGCAGAGACATGCCAGTCTGGAGCAGTCTCAGCTGATTGGGCCCAGCAGGTCCCTGCCTGCTGGCTTCGATGTGCATGGAGACCAGTGATTCTCACATTAGAATCATCAACGGCATTTTTGAAATAAACACAGATTTAACTGAAAAATCCCCAGGATGAACAGCTACTGCCTCAAAGAACGTACTGAGATTTCTATGCACCAGAGGAGAGTTTACTCTCCTGAAACCTCCAGCACAGCATGTGATTGGGCTACTTAAAGAAAAAAGGGGGTACTATGGTTTCACTTGGTGTCTCTCCAGGGCTTGTTAAGGCAAAAGAAAAGGGGCAAGCTATCCCCCTTTTGATGAGAAAACACAAAAGGTTGGTGGATTAAGAACAAACAGTTAAAAGCAGGTCTTACTCACTTTGAAATGCGGTGCTAAACCTGCGTCTGGACTGACACACCAAACAACATTCATTTCAGCGCAGCCCAAGCCTGTTAGAACATGACTCACGGAAACACCGATGGGACTAGATCAGAGGCCAAGGCACGTCCTGTACAAAAAGAAATGAAACACAGCAAAACGAGAAACCTGCTGGCCCCAAACAGGAAAGCCCTAGCGTGCCACCGTTAGGCATGCAGGCCTGTGACTGCCTCATTCAGCTACCTCAGCAAGATGGTAAAGAACTTCAAAAATGGGGTGCTTGGTTCTCTTTTCTTTTCTTTCTTTCTGTCTTCTTCCTTCTTCTTTCTCCCCTCCCCCTCCCCTCCTTCTGCTCCCCCTTTCTTCTCCTCCCCTTCCTCCCCTTCCTCCTTCCCTTCCTCCTCTTCCTCCTTCTTCCTCCTCCTTCTCCTTCTCCTTTCTTCCTTCCTCCTCCTCCTCCCCCTCCTCCTTTTTCTTCTTCTTCTCTTTCCTCCTCCTCCTCCTCCTCCTCCTCCTCCTCCTTCTTCTTCCTCCCTCCTGCTTGCCCTTAGAGTGTGCCTGCTTCTGACCTTCGTTTCTAAGACTTGGGCAAGATAATATTCTCAGAATTTCAGTCTCTGGCCATTTCCAGACAACCCTGTCTGGGGCAGGAATTCCAGACACGACAGCTTATCCGACCTTCCAGGCCCTCTCCTACATGAGCCTATTTCTCATTCTCTTCTCAGAGGTCTGGCTGGTCATGTAATTTCATTCCTAGTTTGCAGTAGAATCATTCCAACAGCCACACATTCAGATATAGGAGCTGCAGTTTAAGCTGTTCAATCAAAATAAAGTATTTTGTGAAACCACTAGGGGGAGTCAATCCAGGGTTGCCAGACCTGCCGGGATAACACAGCTTCCAGGCAAGCCACCCTCTGAGGTTCCTGTGATAGCTTACTCCACCAGGTTTCCAGAAGTCCCTATGGATACACATCAGTGAAAATGGAACAAAACAGTTAACAAAAACTGTCAAAATCATCTCTAAATTATGTCCTATAAAAATTCAGTTTTTCAGAGATTAACACATTAACCAGCTCCAGCAAGCGACCTATAAACACAATTGCTCAAAACTCACAGGTGCTCAAATGTAAAAATACCAGGATTTAACCTTGAGTCCTGATCCCCTCAGAGCTAGACACAAGCCAAACACAGACGCTGCTCCAGAGACGTCCATTCCGTGGAGAAGGGTCAGAAAAGGACACTTGACATTTGGCATCCCGGTGGGAAACTGTGAGGGGCTAGAGGAGGGGTGAGGAAAGACACAACATTTCCACCTGGTGGTGGAGAAATTCTAGCCAATGGGGAATGCCTGTTTTTTGATCAGTATTCTGAGGAATTGGATACCACACCTTGGACTTTGATTTGATCCCTTGATGTACCTCTGGATTTTAAAGTGGCTTAGTTAAAACAAACACAAACTTTGCATAAATTCTTTAGAAAGGAGTGGGTCAGAGAGCTGGGAAGAGTCTGAAGAGTTTCTCAGGAACAGACAGACAGTTTCGTTGGTAAAACATTCAAGAACTGAGTCTTTATTCATACTGGAATGAAGGTACTGCTTTGCAATAAAAGAGAAAAATCTAAAGCAAGGAAAGGGGCCAGGTACAGTGGCTCACACCTGTAACGCCAGCAACTCAGGAAGCTGAGGCAGGAAGATCACTTGAGCCCAAAGAATTCTAGGCTGCAGTGAGATATGACGGCACCACTGCACTCCAGCCTAAGTCCCCACTGCAAAAAAGAAAATGAAAAAAGAAAAAGAAAAGAAAGAAAGGAAGAAACCAGAAAATAGTCTTAAGAATGCACAGAAGACCAGGCATGGTGGCTCAAGCCTGTAATCCCAGCACTTTGGGAGGCCCAGGCAATTGGATTGCTTGAAGTCAGCAGTTTGAGACCAGCCTGGCCAACATGGTGAAACCCCATCTCTACTAAAAATACAAAAATTTGCCAGGCATGGTAGCAAGTACCTGTAGTCCCAGCTACTTGGGAGGCTGAGGCAGGAGAATCGTTTGAACCCGGGAGGTGGAGGTTGCAGTGAGCCGAGATTTTGCCTTTGCACTCCAGCTGGGAGACAGAGAGAGCCCCCTTCCAAAAAAAAAAAAAAAAAAAAAAAAAAAATGAACCTATGTAGTATTTGCCCGTTCTGCCTATTCATTTATTCATTCATTCATCAAATGCACTGAGTACCTACCACATGCCAAGCTCCATACTATGTGCTGGGACCCAGAGATGAGCAAGACAGACGACAGCCCTGCTCTTGTGGTATTTATAGCAGAGTGAGGAGGACACACTTTAACAAGCCACAACCAAAGCAAATTAATTCATGATCATTGTGGGGAGTGTTGTGAGAGGTCCCAGCTGCCAAGGGAGTGTACTAGGCCTAACCTAATCTGGGAGGCAAGAAGAGCCTTCACAAAAGCAACATTTTGGCTGAGGGCTGATCCTAAAGTGTTAGCTAGATGAATGGTGCACAGGTGTGTGTGTGTCGGAGGGTGGACAGGAAGGAGCAAGGGGAATATTCCAGGCTGAGGAAGAAGAGTAAAAGGCTTGCAGAGGGAAAGGCTATGGCATGGTCAACAAATTCTGAATGAAGTCTAGTGTGGCTGTTGCCTAGAGACCTGGAAGAGAGCAGTGTCTGCTGTACCAGGGTCAGCCCACACAGGGCCATGGTAAGTATGCTTACCTCATACCAGCTGCTGTCCTCGACCTGGGATGATTTTCTTCCTCATGGGGACATTGGGTGATGCCTGTAGACAGTTTTACTTTTACAGCTGGGGAGTGAGGTACTACTGGCACCTAGTGGGTAGAGACCAGGGATGCTGCTAAATATCTGACATTGCACAGGGTCGCCACCACAGCAAAGAGTTGCCTCGCTCATAATGTCAGTAGTGCTGAGGTTGAGAGGCCCTGTTTACAAGAAGATGCGAAGCCTGTCATGGGTTTTAAGCTAGAAAGTTTCGTGATGAGATTTGTTTCAAAAAGATCACTCCGACACCAGTGTGGACTGATGGGGCAGATATGAATGGGTATCATGGTCTAGGCAAGAGAAGATGTTGGCCTGGCTGAGGGAAATGTCAGTGTGGATGGAGAAACAGATTTAAAAGAACAAATCCGTTGGATTTCAGGGTGGATGGGTTGTGGAGGGTCCCTTAGCCCAAGCTTTCTAGACGAGGCTGGACTGCCGAGGCTTTATTTGGCGGGTGCAGTATCAGGGCAGCAAGAGTGACGGGAGAGCCAAGTAGAGCAGAGTGGCCGGAAGCAAAGCGCGTCCACGTGGGGCGCTGTTTCAGATGAGCTGTGATGAGACACAGCCTATCACCGCACA